AGAGAAGAAGCCTATTAGCAATTTATTAGTGAACTCATTGATGAAGATTAACAGTTAATGAGCGATCATAATCTTTTAGGCACCCCTGGAGAAACAACATTAGAAGAGCTGAAGCAATGGTTAGATGGAGTTAAGGAACAACTATCATCTCAGCCTGACCTGAGAAATGGGACAAGTAACAGAGACCCAACATTCCCTAGAGAAAGTTCAAATGAAGATTCTCTGCTTGAATGGCTGAACACCTTTCATCGCACAGGAAATTCTACTCAAAGTGGACAAAATGGGAACCAAACTTGGAGAGCTGTGAGTCAAATAAACCAAAACAGTGGAGAGTTTGGTTTAGTCTGGAAATCCACATAAATCATGAAAATAGGGGAGCTGAAGTTGATGGAGAAGATTATATGCACATTCCACTTTCAGATATTAACAGAGATCACACTAGAAATAGACAACAAAGATCAAGTAGTCCTGTGGCTAGGCGAACAAGAAGCCAAAACTCAATGAATTTTAATGGCAGTGGTTCCAACACTCCAAGGAACAGGTTTGGCTCAAGGGGGCAGAATTCAGTCAAAAAATCAACCCAACATCGGGAAGATTGAGAAATGGAATTGGGGGCACAGGTCACATTCCTAGAACAAATGCTTTGTGCCCTAATTTCAGTAGTCATGCAAACCAGTCAGGTGGCAGTGCACTCAGGCAAAGAGAGGGGCAATGATTTGCAGTAGCACATGTTTGGGAAAATGGGGCTAGAACTAATGTTACAGTGAGGAATACAAAGCAAAAATTAGAGCTAATAAGATTACAATCTACCTCCAGTAGACAAAGCCATTCACCAATTCAGAGACACAGTGGCACTATTTATAATTCCCAAAGGGAAAGTAGACCTGTACAGCAAACCATTAGAAGGTCTGTTAGGAGAAGAAGAGGTATAACTCATGCCTTTGACGTCTTTGTAGAGCAAGATACAGGATGCAGAAGTACCGCATATACCCCATTCTCTAATTTAAGACCTGTGTCAAGAATCACATGACAAGAAGGTAAAGAATCCAGCAGATCCTCAACTGCTATACGACAGCATCCAACAATCACCCTGGACCTTCAAGTGAGAAGGATTCATCCTGGGGAAAATAGAGATCAGGATAGTATTGCAAACAGAACTCAATCGAGAGTAGGGCTAGCAGAAAATACAGTCACTATTGAAAGCAATAGTGCGGGCTTTCACAAAACTATTTCTCATTTAGACAGGTTAGGGATTCAAACCTATGTTAGTACTATAACAGTTCCTCTTCATAGGATTTCTGAGAATGAACTTGTCGAGCCATCATCACTTGCTCTGAGGACAATTTTAAGGCAGATCATGACTGGGTCTGGAGAACCAGACAGGAGCGATCTCTCCATAGAGAGCAGCTGGCAGGATCCAAAGACATGGTCAGCACTTGCCAGAGATGCACTCAGAACTGAATAACTTAGCTAGCTACAGCTAATGACAGCAGCCAGCACAGTGAAGGTTCTTCTCAAGACATGAGGGCCCAAGATGACAGCTTTGAAATGCATGGGGAAAATGAGAGCACCCATCTTCGTAGCCAAAACCATGACAGCAAAGGTGGCAGGCTGTTGCGAAATTCAAAGAATTTAGTTGAAACTGGGACACTACCTATTCTTCACCTTGCTCACTTCTCTACTAAATGAAGGTGATGATGATGACTGAATCCGTGGTTTAACCAGATTGACAATCTTTCCACCAGGAACTATGAGCATAACAATCCTGAGAGTGAGCTAGGTAAAATCTGTAGTGTTTGCATCAGTGACTACATAACTGGAAACAAACTCAGGCAGTTCACTTGCATGCATGAGTTTCACATTCATTGTATTGACCGGTGGCTCTCCGAGAAATGTACTTGTCCAATCTGCTGGCAGGTTCAGTATACCAAACAATGGGTGAAGTAATGAGATCTAGTCAGATATTGTATTTTAATAGAGTTGAGTATTCAGGCATTCATTTGCTTAGTTATTTGTGATGAGCTAACCAAGATGAAAAATAACAGATTATAGCTTGAACTATTTTTGTATGTTTTAAGTTGATAAAAAGATAAAATGTATATAAAATTTAATGTGCAAATGTTAGATTACCCGAAAATACAGAATAGTTACTATTGCTAAAACCAAATAACCTTTAAGATGTTTTTATTTTGGTAATTCTCTCATGCTAAGCACTTTTATATCTGCACAATTCAGAGAGAATGTCCACTTTGATTATGGCCTTGTCTATATAAGGTCAGAGTTTGTGAACTCAAGAGGCTTCCATAGCCTTGGCAGCTCATAACAAGAGCCTTGGGTGATTACTGACGTCATAAATAAGAGTGTCAATTGTTAAATCAACAACGGAGTCACTGTGCACTTACTCCCCATGTAGGATCTCTGTCCTTAATGTGTTGTACTATGCAAATTAACGGTAAAACTATTATTCAAACAGTACTTTATACTTTGTGTGTCTGTGTGGGTGCAAACTGCTGAAATCTTTACTTAATAGATGCTAACTTGATCTTCTACAAATAAAGATAATTAAAAATGAATCTTAATGAAGAATGGGATGGGAGAGGGAGTGGGAGATGGGATGGTTTGCTGGTGGGAAGGATGGTATGAGGGAAAAAACGCTATAATCCAAAAGTTGTACTTTGGAAATTTATATTTATCAAATAAAAGTTAAAAAAGGTCAATCTTTATATTAAACTACAGCAGACTTTACTTGGATTTTCAAGTTTCATAGGCATAGTACAGTATCTAGACATTGATGTCTAAATAAGCCTTTGAAAGAGTGTTTGGCTGAATGTTTGCTAAATACTTTAAGTTACTTGAAATAATTTAATGTGCAGGATACCGTATGCATATGTATAGTTACATAATTTTAAGATTAAAATATTCAGTCTAAAAACTTCAAGTTTAATTCTTATTTAAGCTTTTGGGACAATACTGCACATGGCATAATGTTTAATGTTGACAAGATCATCTCTTGAAGTGGATTAAGATGTAATTTTAAAATGCAGATAATTTACTGAAGCATCTCTGACAATCTGACTTAGTAGACAACAAGCAATATATAACACTGAAAAAGTATCTCTTTATTCAGAAATGGAATGTGGAAAATTTAGAACACATAGATTATTTAACTTGATTTCAGCCTTTTTGTGACTTTTTTGAATGTGCAAATAATTCTTTGTACTATTAAGTGAAGTATACAATATGCATGGTTTCTCATATTTAGTTTTAAAATCTAAAAAATGTCAATGAAGAATTACATGCATAGATAAGTTCACTTGGAGGCTAGAAAATTTCAAATACAACAAAGATCATTAAGAGAATGTAAGGTTTATAAAACACAAAATATGCATTGATGATCTCTTTCTACCAATAAATATTAAACCAAAAAAGTCTATAATTTCTTCAAGTGTGCTCCCCAGCCTGCCTTCACAGAACTTCCTATGGTGCTAGATAAAAACACAAATTTCCTGGTCACATCCCAGACTGAATCATCATCATTGGAGAGGAAGACAAGATTTGCATCTGAGGTACTGTGAAGTTTGAGAACCATTAGCCTAATCCAACCCACTCACCTATCAAATTTATTTTCCTTAAACGTTGCTTTCATTATTTTAGTTCCATGGTCAAACTAGTTTCTGCCTGGACTTCCAGACTCTCTTTCAAATTAACTGTCTTCATCTTTCCAATGAAAATTCTTTGTTCCAAGAAAGTCAACCTCATCTCCCACATCCCTCTTCTCTGTCCCCCGCAACACACATGGTTTGGTTCTCTCCAGACCTCTGCATGTATTATTGAACCCAGAAACCATAGTCTCTTTTCCCTAGTCAAACCCCAGTTATCAAAACTATTTCTGAAAGCCCAACTTAACTTTAGACATTTTAATGCAGCTTTCTCTAATTATTCCAACCTTATTTCTCTCGTACTTAAGCAATTCCTATAATATGTATTGTCAGCTTCACAATTTAAGGTTTGATTATTTCAACATGTATCAACTAGAAAGTCTTATCTTACTTTTATTTTCCACTCTTCTAAATACCTAGCATGGTTCTTGAAATACTATATGCAATAAATAAATTTTGCTGATTTTAAAAATGTCTCTGAAAGCTGATAGCCTTTCTGCAAAAATGTCACAATTTATAAAAACTATTAAAGGAATCAATTTTTAAAAACAATACAAATATTAAAGATATTTACTATTCTACAGACCTTAGTACTCAGTGATATTAAACATGTTTCCTAGCCTGTCCCCTAAATAAAGATGATGTTTCCTACACTATTCTCTAAATATTTACTCATGAAAGCAAGGTAATTACAAATACTCCTCAACACAACACAGGCCACTTTGAGCTTGTGAAGGAATAGTGCATCATGTAATTATAGCACTGAAATATAGAGTCTTGTGTATAAAACATTTTCATGACAGCAATGGAAAGAACCTTAAGATATAATTTAAATGAATCATTCCAGTTTACCCATTTAATAATTGAACCCCAGAAAAATTACATGATTTGCCCAAAGTCACAGAGTATTAGCACCCAACAAAAGCAAGCACCCAGGCCTCCTGACTGCAAGGCAAGGATTGTTCTAATTACACAAAATGAGATGTTTTAATAAAATTCATATTAGCATAAACCAATATTTTAGGAGTCACTGTCTCTGCCATAGTGAGAAATTGAGGTAAAGCACACAATTTCATCAGAACCCCAAAGACTGACAAAGGCACAATGCCCCCCCAAAAAGTAACCACTGCTAATTCTAAATACACAAGCATTTACCAAAATTACAGGAAAAAATACTTACCAGAGCTAAATTCTAATTATCTGATCTTAATATTAATCTCAGTGTTTTGGTAAAATATATACCAAAAGAGGAGCCAAATATATTAAATACTATCATAAAAAATTACAATTCCCAAAAGCACAAATTTACATCTAAGGGTAAAACACATCTTTTGTACTCACCGTAACTTTACTTCCAACTATCTGCATGCAGTGGTCAACGAAGAATGGTTACAGTGTGAAAAAAAACAAACAGCAACAATATTAGTAATCAGAAGCTTTTCACAGAAGTTAAGTGTTTAGTAAATTAGTAAATAGCTAACCCTATTGATACGTCTAATACTTCAGATCCAGAAGCTAAAACAAACACATTAATATTAATTTCTGTTATATTTCAAAACTGTTTTAAAGTCTGTGGAGTAAGGGTTCCCAAATAAAGGATAAGCACTATTTGAGGATTTTTAATCCTTATATACTGCAATCTAAATATCAAGTGATGCAAAGTTAAATGTAATCCAACATCAGATATTTTACTACCTTTCAGCCCCTCAAAAATTATCAATAGAAAATGGATTTTTCCCAAATATTCCCTTTTTCCCTTTCTTTTTAATAGAAGGTATACTAGTAAGATTTAAATAAGGTATTTTAGAATTTTATTGTTGCATTTAAAGCTTGCATTAAGTTCAGAAGTGAACTTTAGCTCGAAAACTAGGATATTTCATATTGTGAATAATACTATTTCATATTATACTTGAAAATTACAAAGCAGATATATTGCTTATTACTGTAGTTTTCTAGGTCATCCTAGCATTTCTATTTTAAGATCACAGTTTTCTACATAATGTAAAGACAAAGAAGCTAAACATGCAAATATTCATAAGGAAGAAACAGTTGAAAATTTGCAACTTTGATTGAGTTTTCCTAATGGATAAGAGAGAAAAGAATTTCTGAAAGGTAGAATTGTGTTTTAAAAAAAAAACAGGAAATAAACGCATAGTCCTAAACATAATCTTACACCAAAATCTAAATAAAATCATTGTTATCAAATTCTAACACTTGAATATCAAGCAGAGTCCAAAAAAAGAGCTAATCCACAATCTAAAACCATTAATCTGACAGTAGTGATTATAAAAATGTGCTCTATTTTTTCAGATAGTGCTTTAAAAATAGAAATCAAATTTAATTGAAATCTCAGTAAGAATCCTAAGTTGAACAGGATATCACGAGATACAGAAAGATAGGAGAGTTTCCAAGCAAATTATTCCAAAAGAATCCATGGTTTTCCAAACAGAGAATCAGCTTTCTTAAATAATCATTCAATAGTCTACTTACAAGCAGTCATTATTTAGTTGAATAAAAGTTTCTTTGGTACTATTAACAATTTTCTGAATTGAAAGATATGCTATTGATGTAAATTATTTCCTCCCACCAAAAAGATAGAGGTCATAGTTGTCTCTTGTTTATTTAGCACAGACATGAGAAAAAGAATGCAAGCCTGTCTTAACAATTAGAGCAGATCTATACTCAGCAAAACAAACAGAATATGACCCACTTAATGATTCATCTGGATTGCAAAATGACTGCATTTAGCTAAAGCACGTATAGCATTAGATTAGATTGATTAGCCAAAGAAAGCTAGTGAAACTAGTTTGGTCATGTCTGGACTCAATGTTTCATTATATCCAGACCATACCTGGCAAAGACCTGGAAAAGAAAGTGTCTGATAATAGCAATAGCAAAACCATACTAAAGTATACACATGCACACATAGACATACTGAAACTTATAACTACTTGTTTTACAGGTCAATTTAACAAATCTGTAGATGTAGTGGGTATCACTGTTCTAAATTATTTTCTATTGAAAATTTTATTGAATCAATTATATTATTCATTGGCTCACATCCTCCAAAAATGTAATCTTACCTAGGTTGATATCCCAACTTCAAAGATATTGATTTAAGTTAAAAACAAACTAGCTTCTCAATTATCTAATAAATGCATTGGCATTTGGCAAACTAATCTTAGATGAGAACTTTTCCTCTAAAATGTCTATAAATACTGTTCAGAGTATGCAAGATCCCTTTGAAATCATCAACATGTTTTGTCTATTTCAACATTATGAATTGGTAGGATAACTTCTGCAATATTAACAAAGCATACTTTTCCATTTCTGAAAACATATGCTGGTGTTTTAAAAATGGACTTTTCCAGGTTATTTTTAGCCGAATTGTCTATATGTACAAACTACCTTAAGTCAGGTCCATAAACATATATACTGCAAAGAAAAAAAAAGCCCAAATCATGGAGAATAAATTCAAAGAAGAGGTTCTTCTCCACTCGCCTATTCAACATTCATTAATCACTGATAGTTATTCAAATTATTTTCCTTTTAACACTGATACAACTTTCTTTATTATGGGACTTTAGGAAGAAAAAAATTAAGCAATAGTTTTCATCATTACCTTATGATTTCCTTAATAGTCCCATATTGGATGCTAATTTTAGCAAAGTTAAAACAAAAAACCTCATGTGCTGTAGAAATAGGTTTGGATGACATATCTGTGTATAGTTTCAGCTTGCTTTAACATCCTTAGCCAGGAACCCAGGAGTATGATGGATATTTCTTACTGAGTTCATGTTTTATTTGCTTTTAGATCCCATGCAAAATAACTACTGCATGTGTTAAGTGGAAAAATGTACAATTTGTGTTTAAATTTAACTATCATTCTCATATGTTTCACAGGTAACTGTAATCAATATGTTTCCACCATAGACCCTAGCCCATAACTTTGTTTTTACCTCAGGATGAAAATTCTGACTACTTTATAAAAACATTTTCATAAAGTAATAGTTTTTATCACATTTGTTTTCAATGAGGAAAAAATTTATATTTACTGGATATATCACTATAATGAAAAAGTAAGCATTATAAAATTACAAGACACTCAAAGCATTTTTAAAGCATAGAGAAAGACAGCAGGATAGAAACCTTGGTTACTCACAAGTAAGCACTCATACATTTGGCTATAATTGGTAAAAATTTTATTGTTCTGATCATGAAGAGGTCAAAGGATTAGAGTATTGTTTGTCACTAAATGCCATTCTTCTTACCTTCAAAAGGAAACTGCATAAACAATTTTTATATTGTTAATGATAGAAAAAACACAGCACTAATTAATGTCTCCCCAAGGTGAGAAAGCTTCAAAATATTCTGTCAACAGGCTTTCTTCCATCATAATATTTGGACCATAAAAATATTAGCAAAAATGAATAATCTTAGAATTCTTATGAAAGTGCTGAACATATGTCAGGTACGCCTGGGTATGCTGAATTGGGCATGCTGAAATAAGACTTATAAACTAAGTAAGTAATGATTTAAGGCTAGTAGTGCCTTAAATGTGGAATTTTCAAGTCTTTTGAGAAATGTTCAATTTCCTTCTTTTGAATAAAGCAATTCAAATGAGTTCATCTAATATTTACAGAAATCTTGGCATTTTAATCTGAAAAATGAGCATATAACTTAAAGTGCATTTCTATGGTCAGTTGAAGGGGAAACTATGAGAATAAATTAAAAACAGTTGTGGATAGAAACTGAATAATAAAAGGTCAAGGAATAAGAGCTTCATGTAATCTCCATTATATTCAGTCCCACTTCCACAAACAACAAATGAGTCAGAGACACTAACAAAAATCTTATCATTAAAAACACCACATGATTATTCATATATTATTATCTGTTTGCTGCACTCAGATTTAGTTATATAGTTTTACTACTGTTATTTGCCTCTAGATATTTGAAAAATAGCACTGAATGTACACCCTGCATTTCCTAAAGCCTTTTACTGTGAACAATAACTTGAGTGCAAAAATGAGAAGAGATTCATCAGAATTTCAAAGTAAAACCCTATGCATCACCTAATTCTATTGCAAAAGATGCTCATGGCAAATTTCACTTATCACTTGAAACATATTTCTGCCCTTGGATACCAGAAGCAAATTAAAAAACATGCTGTTGCTCTGCTCTGGCAGAGCTGCAATGCGTTATGTTTAAACAGTTCAGCATTCAGATTTAGCTTGCTTAACGTACAGTATAGAATCAATATAATCAGAAAATTCAGGGCAAAATGCATTAGTAATTGCCACTAGAAATACTGTACTGATAACAGCACTAATAGGAGAAGCCCATAATTTTAGAATATATTTTTCCAGTAAGCAACTCTTTTCTTCACTGGTCAACTTTTTAAGCTTAAAATCAATATTTAAAAATGTATATGTGTGCATGTATACAAACATATAATATATACATTCCCATGCACATAAACACACACATAAAATCACTGCATATATATACATACACACACACATATATACATACACAGTGATTTTATAATCCCTACATTAAAAAAAGATTTCTTCATTTCAAAATCATACTTTTTCTTACTGGCCCCCTCCAGCCCCAGAAAAAAGAAAGATTATTTTTGTAAGCACCTTAGGAAGTAAATAAAGTAAAATACTCCATTAACATAAGGTTTTCCATTGATAACAAGTCTTTTCAATGAAGCATATTTTCAAGGCTTGAGACGCACACAAAAAGATTTGATTAAAGCTCCTATTAAGTGTCTGTCTTTATATTGAAGTTGTACCGTAAAATTTATGAGGCTGCTTCCAGAGTTTACATCACATAATAGAAAAAGCTGACAAAACTACATATTAAAAACACAGCTAAAATGTTCTTGCAAGCAGACACCAGACATATAGCTTTAATGTAAACTTAATTAAAGCTGATTGTGCTTTGTTTGTGTCTTCTCCCTCAAAAACCAAAGCTGTCATCTAGCAAACTGTATATTAACTGGAATACCTGCAAAATGTCATCAGTCGTTTGTCAGTACATAAAAGCTCAGCCCCGAAACCTATTGCATTTACTCTATACTTATTACTTCCTCTATCTCTTCTACCCTTATTAGTCTGTCCTGTTCATAATAATGGAAATATCTCATTTCTAATAAAGAACAATTTTGAAATATATGCTATATATACAAAAATATAATTTCCTGAACAGTGTACATTGCACATTAAGGCAAGGACTTGAGGGTCCGAGGTTTTTGCTTATTTTTAAGCAAATAATGAGAAGTTCATTCTGTTGGTGATGGGAAAGTCTCCCTACTTACAGATTTAGCAGTAGCAGAAATATACTGGACAACCATCTCACGCTTGGTGGTAAAATCCTTGTTTCTTAAAGGGGCCTTTTTTTCTTCATTAAGGTTCATGTCCTCCTGTTTGAAAGAACATTAACTGTGAGTATTGATAAATTTCTGCTGAAGAGTTTCAAAAGCGATTAATAAATATAATTAATTTGTATGTCTTAAAACATTAAGTCACACTGTAACCAACAACAATAATCCTTCCTTTGGGTACATTGCTACTATTTTTCACTCTAGATAACAAAATCTCATGTAAATTTTACCATGTTTTCATAGTTCCTATCTCTACCTAGCCAGCTAATGAGCAGAAACAAAAAATTTTGAAATTATTCCACAGCATAAATTAGCAGTTTATAGCACAGATATATGAGAGTACTTCCAAAAAGGTATGGAAAATAAAATTAAAAGATATCTATTTTGGTACAAAATGTCTTGAAATCCACGCAGTTTTTTTATACCACACATTTTCCATTAACTTTTTGAAGACTTCATATGTATAGATTTCAACAATTTTTGATCAAAATAAAGTCACCTTTTAATTCTATATTGATAAATGTTCTGAAGTGCTATTGTACATTACACAGTCCTAGTAAAGCTATTTATTTACCTTAATAACAAGAACAAATCTACACAAACAGAAATTACTATTTCCTCATATACTCCCTTTGGATTCTGATTATCAAGGAAAGCAAACATGCTTTGAAAATTAACAGGGAATATCTATCTATAATGTATCACTGAAGGAAAATTCATAATAAGTTGCTTTAAAAAAAACAAAAGCAAAAATACTGTTAGCTGTATTGGGACAACAAAAATCACTCATTGGAGGAAAAATATTCACTTACAAGAGAATATTTTTTGAGATCCAATAGTATTTAATTGGTTGGGAAATCTAAACTTTGAGATATGTACACAAATAACACTTTCATTAGACGTATCCTTTTTCTTGATTTTGAAACTCATGTTATCCCTTGCAACATATGAAGACACCCTTGAGGGGGGTCAGAAAACCAAAATGGAAATGCCTGTGTTTAAAAATGGAATATCAAGTGAAAAGTCAACCACAGCATAGGGTGAAAATGTCTACAGATCCTACGTCTTACAAGAGACGTGTATCCAGGCTGGTGCCACGGCTCACTAGGCTAATCCTCCGCCTGCGGCGCCGGCACCCCAGGTTCTAGTCCCAGTTAGGGCACCGGGTTCTGTCCCGGTTGCCCCTCTTCCAGTCCAGCTCTCTGCTGTGGCCGGAGAAGGCAGTGGAGGATGGCCCAAGTGCTTGGGCCCTGCACCCGCATGGGAGACCAGGAGGAGGCTCCTGGCTCCTGGCTCCTGGCTTCAGATCGGCGTAGCTCTGGCTGTTGCAGCCATCTGGGGGATGAACCAATGGAAGGAAGATCTTTCTCTCTGTCTCTCTCTCTCTCTCTCACTGTCTAACTCTGCCTGTCAAAAAAATAAAAAATAAGAAAAATAAAAGAGATGTGTACCCAGCTATGTGAAGAATTCTTACACCTCAACAATAAAAAGATAAATAAGCTCATAAAAATGAGCAAAGAATTTGAACAGATATTTTTCTAAAGATATACAAGTGGCCAACAAACAAATGGAAAGATGCTGATTATTTTTCATTTGAAAAATACATATCAAAATCACACCAAAATACCACTTCACTCCTACCAGAATGACTAGCATAAAAAGATAGAGAACAATGTTGCCAAAGAAATTGCAACCCTCACACATTGCCAGTGGGAATATAAAATAATGCAGCCACTTTGGAAAACAATTCTGGAAGTTAAACATAGAGTTACCCTACAACCTAGTTTATATACCCAAAAGAATGAACATAGCTCCATACAAAAACTCCTACATAAAAGTTCATAAAAGAATTGTGCATCAAAAGCAAAGAGTAAAAAACTAACCCAAATATCCATCAAGTGATGACTGGAGAAACAAAATGTGATATTTGCATACAATGAAAGAGTATTCAACCATAAAATGGAACATACAGAAATATGTTATAACATAGATGAATCCTGAAATCACATTCTGCTAAATGAAAGAAACAAGTCACAAAAGAATAAACATTGTATGAGTCCATTGATATTCAATGTTCAGAACAGGGAAATCTATAAGGGCTGAAAATAGACTAGAGGTGGCCAGGCAAAAGAGGAACTGAGGATTGGGGTATAATAGCTTATGGATGTGGTATTTCTTTTTGGGGTACAATAAATGTTCCAAATTTGATTTTATAATGATTGCAAAACTCTGAATATACTAAAAAACATCAAATTGTATACTCTCAAAAGGTGAATTTTATAACATTTTTAAACTTTATAGAAATTTTTAAAATATTCAAGTTTTATGTTCGATTGACACATAACTGCACATATTTGTAGAAGACAATATGATGTTGCAATACATGTATACAGTGTGTATTGATCAAATCAATGTGATTAGCATATCCATCAACTTAAGCATTTATCATTTCTTTGTAGGGAAAACATTCAATATGCTTAGTTCTAGTTATTCTGACACACAGAATACATTTCTGTGTCCTCTAGTTACCCTGCTGTACAACAGACATGAAAACTTGTTCTTCCTATCTAACTGTAAACTATATCTGCTGAACAACCTCTCCTCAACTTCTTTAGTAATCATTACCATACTGTCAACCTCCATGAGAATGTAAATTAGTGAGAATGTGAATTAGTACAGCCATTATGGAAACAGTATGGAGGTTCCTCGAAAAACTAGATAACAGAACTACCATATGATACAGCAATCCCACTACTTAGTATATATCCAAAAGATATGAAATTCTTATGGTCAAAGGACATTTGCACTTAAATGCTTATTGTAGCTCTACTCACAAGAGCCAAGATAAGGAACCAACCTAAGGGTCTATCAGTGGATGAAGGGATAAAGAATGTGTGTGTGTATGTGTTTGAATCTGTCCAATGGAATACTATTTAGTCATTAAACAGATGAGATCCTGTCATTTGTAGAAAAATGGATGTAGTTGAGGACATTGAGTTAAGTGAAATTAGCCATAAAATAGGAAGGCAAATGCCACATTAAATCTCTCATACATGGAAACGAAACAAGTTGTAAAGACAACACTATTTTTTTAAAAATCAAGTAAACTACTGAGCAAATGACACGACTAAAGATATTTCAAAGATTTGTATGTGACAACGTTCAAGGGGAAAACGAAACCAAGAAAAGTAATTAAACTGCATCCATCTATTGAATAGCAATTTCACTGACAATACCACAATATCTAATTGCACCCATCACAGTGACTCTTAGAATCCATTCATAATCAATATCTATAAATTTCACATGTATATGCAGATCTTCTTTTGTAATCACCTCAAGCACTAACTCTGCCTCCATAATGTATTACTAGAAGGCAGAAGGGTCCAACATTATTGAATCAAAGTAGAATCACAGAAATTAGGCTGGATAGAATTTTAATATAGTCCTCAGATGATCATCTTTGCTATATATCTATTTCAATTCACAGGGAACTCATTATCTTCTCAAGCAACACAGCCTAACTTAGGACAGGTTAATTTTTTGCTAAGTTTTTCCTCAGCAAGTGGGATGTGATATACACACAACAAAATACCAATAGTGTGCTAAAGTGGCAGGACTGAATCATGTTTTTATTTTACTTCTTAACTTTTCAAATTCAAAATCACTTATTTACTAGACTCATTCTATGCACCATGACTATTCTAGGATGTCTAGCACAGTGAAAATTTGTGATTCATGCTGAAAAACTGCTATTATTTATGAAGCACTTAGAACAATGCTTGAAACATAACAAATGCTGTATGTTTGTTGGATAAATAAAAATGAATAATCCATGGTCTAGTATGAGTAAGTAATCATAACAGAGGCATTTGGAGGATGTTTTGCAAATACAAAGGACAGAAAGAAAGGTGAGTGCAGTCTTTGCCAGGATTTGGGTCCTAAAGGACGAGAAAAATCTGACTGCAGGGAACGAGGCCAGCCAGAAGACTCCAGTAGTCATTTGTCATCTTTCCCCAACATCATTAGAATGTGCTTTCTACATTTTAATGTATCTTCACCTTGTCAGTCCTACCTAACCAAGGTAGAATCTATAAACACTACCTTTGTCAGGGAATCCAAGATGGCTGAATAGAGAAGAGACATGCCAATTTTGATCACAGGAAGATAACAGAAGAAAAGTGGAAGAAGTGCATTCCCAGGAGAGAGTTGGAGAGAAGTTTACAGTGGAAATTCTACAGAAAGAAGAGAGGTGGCATGGAGCAGCATAGACAGTACAAACACACAGTAGCGAAGAGGGACATCACGGGTAAGTCCCACAGCCAGAGGCAGGAGCAGTGAGGTTAGAAGAGACTGCTGTAGCCCTTGTCAGTTGTGATATTGTTTGAGACAGAATCTTGTGGACCACACTGCTTTGAGTCCAGCCTGGAGTGCTAGCTGGGGACAGCGTACTCACCTAACCCCGTGGATAGGGAGCACATTTCTTTTCTCTTTATCATCTCACAAGGGCACCTGGCGACTAGCAAGGAGAAAGCACCACCTTAATAATGTGAGCAGAGGCTGTGTTGGCTCACATGCCCTTGCAACTAGTAGACTATCAGAGGAATAAATCAGTGGTCCCCACTGACTTTGAGTCTGGCCTGCAGGGTTGGCAGGGGGCTGGGTACTCACTTAGGAAGGTGAGGCATTTCCATTCCTCCACTCAATCACAGGCGCCTGTGCTCAAATTGCCAAGGGGGAGCACCAACAGGCAGCTGGCTCTGGAACACCTCTGCTCTCTCCAGGTATAGCGCAAAGCTTGCAGGGCTCAGAGTGGATCTCCTTCAACCTGTGACTGTGGGAATTCTCTGACTGCACTATAGGGTGTGGGGTGTAACTGTGTCTCTGGGCAAACACAGAGACACAAACACAGTGTGGCTTCAGAGGCTCAGAGTTCCATGAGTGCCTGGGGTGGATCATTACAGAAGGTTCCATGCTCACATCTGAGGACTGCACACGTGTTTTTTTGTGATTCATGCATATGCATAGGTGAGGTGTGT